AGCCCGCCCCGCCAAAAGGCGGGCTTTGGCGGGCCCCGCCCCGCCAGCTCTAACGGGACATAAGGGAGAGCAAATAAAAATTAAAGCATAAAATATTAAATATATACTAATATTGTTTGAGGAGATTCCGACATTAGGATTTGTGGTTAGAGTTCTATTAAGACTTTAATATTAGAATTAGATTAATGTTGTAGTTATAATTCTATATTAGACTTTAATATTAGAATTAGAATAATGGTGAATTAACGGTACTTAATGGAACCCGGATTGGACTTCCATTTGGAAGGTTGTGAGTTCGAGCCTCAATAGAGGTGTTATTAGCTCTTTGTGTTTCAGTAGGGTTGAGAGAGATCAATATTGACGTTACTGAATTGTCCCTTTATTTAACACCAATTTGACGGAATAACAAATGGAGGACTAAATTGAGCGAAACACAAAAGTCTGGGATGATATTAGGTCACCAAAGTCGTTTAGGACGAAATTGAGAAAAACCACTATAGTCGAGGACGATTTTGGGTATTAACTCATCAAAATTCTAAAGAAAGTATTTTAGTTATTCAACAGTTTGAAGCAACAATTTGTTCTAAACCACTGAAAATACAAACATTGCAATTTACAATATTTTCACTTAGCGTTTTTTAGAATGATTTCCACAAAACACATTTATATATATTTTTTTAAAATAATTATTAAAACAATTATTATTATTATTATTATTATTATTATTATTATTATTATTATTATTATTATTATTATTATTATTATTATTATTATTATTATTATTATTATTATTATTATTATTATACCCTTAGGTCATTTTAAATGTTAATTTAAACAGTTAATTTTTTCAAATATTTTTTTACCAACCGTTGATATAATTCGCTGGTCAAATCCGCTAACGCTAACCGCTAACTGTTGATTGTCAAACAAGGACATTGCGAGGTAGTTTCTCACTTCAATTTGTTGTGTGATTTGAATACTCTTTTTGTCAACAAATCCCTCAAGTAGTTAATATGATTGACTTTATTAATTTAAAATTTTTAAATTTTTCATGGTATTAATAAAATACTTGGTAAAAAAATATATAGCATTATTTTGGAGTTAATAACCAAAATAATCCATCGACTATGTCATAATTACCAATTTAGTCCTCGACTATTATTCTTACTCAATTAAGTCCTCAACTATGCAATATTTACCTAATTTAGTCTTCCGTTAATTTATCCGTTAGTTGGCTGTTAATAATGAGGGCAAAATTGTCATTTTATTACTTCCTCCCATCTCCTTCCTCACGCCACATTATACTACTATATACACATGCCATGGCTGTTTTACTTCCGGATCATGCGACGACTTCTGTTCTATAGACGTCCCATTTCCACAGATACTTTCATGGAGACCATAATCCCAAATCTACTAAGCTCCCTCTCCCTAACTCTCAAACAGTCCAAACACTTTCTCCCCTTGCCGGCAAACTGGTTTCCCCTTCCGATTGTAGTGCCATGCGGGAGCTCCGGTACGTGCCCGAAGACTCTGTTTCTGTCACATTCATGGAGTCCGGTGGCAACTTCGATTCACTCACGGGCTATCATCCACTTGACGTGAATGATTTTTATCGTAGCTAAATTACGAGAGCCAAAATATACCGCCGGTGGGGAGATAGTATTCCCCGTTTTAGCTGTTTAAGTTACACTTTTTCCGGGCTTTGGGATATGTATTGGCACCACCCACCACCACATTGTTGGAGATGGAAACGCCATGGCTACGCTCCATTACGGAGTGGTTGAGTGTGTGCGGTGTTTGCTCATGTGGACGCCCAAAGCCTGGCCTCTTAACTCCAACCCGCAAACAGTGCACACATGTTTCTTCTCACTTAGGTAACCACCGAGCATCCTCGGTGTGGCTAGCCTTGTGGCCGCCTAGAGCTTGGACGGAGTGGAGCTTTTTCCGGCAAGTCTTGCACTCTTAAACCCGACCCCGACATCGCTATCTGTTCCTCGTCCATACGAGATATCAACATCAGACAATTCGCCATGGCTAAGCTCTCCACATCATCGTCTCTGTTGCTCCTCTTTAGCACCACCATCTCAACAGCAACTGTTCTATTCTATTCTCTATCAAGTCAAGTGTTAATAATCCGGCCAATATGAAATTAAACCCAAGCCAACTGTGAACTTCAACTTGAATTTATGCAATAATAATACGAGCTGAGCGTTCACAAATATATATATATATATATATATATATATATATATATATATATATATATATATATATATATATATATATATATATATATATATATATATATATATATATATATATATATTATATATATATTGATGGATTATATGAACCCGGGGGTCCGGATTATACAACCCGAATATATGTTGAATACGAAGAACGGATAATAAAACGGTAAATATTGTATTAATTGAATATAAAATGCTATTACAGAGGTTCGGGATGTGTAATAACAAGACAAATGCTGTAGGAAAAGTACGAGATGCCTCATTAGGACACCGGGGGGTGTTTATATACCCCACGGCTACTACGGGCCCTGGGCCCGCGGGAGGAGCCGCGGTCTGCGCCGCGGGACTCGCTCCACGCGAGGACCCGGCCACTGGCCGAGCACGGAGCTCGGCCAGTGGGCCGAGCCCACGTGGCCGAGCCCAAGGGGCTCGGCCGAGCTCGGGGAGGTCGGCCCACGCCGACCCCCCACTGGGCCGACCCCGGGGTGGTTCGTCCTGCTCCGGGGTCCGACCAGGTTTGTATCGCGTTGCTCCGCTCCGGCTCCGTGATTATTCCATCATATATATATATATATATATATATATATATATATATATATATATATATATATATATATATATATGCAGACCACATATCAGATCGATATATATTTGTGTACCACTCTTTTGTCGTTCCCTCTTTTTCTCAACATCACTGGTGCGCAGAAATTCTGGTGTATACAGTATAATATGGCAGCGCGAGAGAGGAGATGGAAGAAAGTGGTAAAATGACAATTTTACCCTCATTATTGACAGTCAACTAACAGATAAATTAACGGAGGACTAAATTAGGTAAATATTACATAGTTGAGGACTTAATTGAGTAAGAATGATAGTCGAGGACCAAATTGGTAATTACGACATAGTCGATGGACCATTTTGGTTATTAACTCTTTATATTTTGTATTATAACTTTGATATTTAATTAAAAAATAGTGCACAAAAAAGATAATAGACAATGTAGTGAATATAATCAATTGATGAATTTGAATGTAAAGAATTTTTACATTGGAGAAAAATAAAGACAATATAACTTTAGGATGGGGTTCGAACCTAAGACCTTTCTTATTGAAATGAAATCAATGAGTACATTAACGGTGAACTAACAGAAATTAACGGAAAATATAATATTTAACGGAAAAGTTAACGGATAATCATATTCATTAAGGATACATTAGGAAATCTCAAGAAAAAATTAAAATCTGATCAATTTGAGCCATTCATTTGATTACAAAATTTGACCGCCATTTTTTCTACCGATTATAGGCCTAACTCTCTTGGGCTCTTATTAGTATAGTAGATTATGAGTGTGTTAGGTTTATGGGTTTACACACTAGGAATGAGAATCAAAATCATAGTTACTATTTGGTTGACAACGTATAGTACTTTTTAAAACACAACTATGTAATTTGGATTACCCCTTCAATTAAAAATTTTCATTCCCTAATTAGAAAAAGGTTTCATTCCATCTTATCAGTAATATAATTTTTAGATTTTTATTTTGATTTTTTTTGTTCATGCATATTAGTGCTTTGGATATTATGATCAATTGTTTTGATTTATGATTTTTGTATTTTTAAAACCTTTATTCCCACTATACATCTCCATTTACTTTTTCATCCATCCGCACTCCCATGATAAACTACACTTTCACATTCCTTGAAGGTGGAATGCAAAATCCACTTCGAATTCCATCACTTCTGCTGCAAACAGTTCACGTTGTTGCTTGGAAGTGAGAGCGTGGAGGTCGTCGGAGTCTCCGGTTGCTGCTGCTCGTATGATCGATCAAATATATCCTTATTTGTTCCTCCAAACCATATTCTTTTGCAATTAGAATTTAGATTTTGAGCATTATTGCGTGCCCTAGTGATGTACCCATGGAATACTCTGGCAACCCTTTTTCTGTCGGCGTACATATGCGAATCATTGATGGCATAGTCGTAGCCGTAGCCTATTTCGTAATGGGAAGATCACTCGTGCTGATAATACGTGTTGTAAATTAAAACATAATCTCGCGTGGTTCCTGTGAAATTGTAGATAGGCTCAAACCAGTATAGCGAAAAGGAAGAATGGTAGAAAAAGAACAAAATTGAAAGCAGAACCTCCACCGCCATATTCATTAACTAGTAGTTGCACCCGTGCGGTGCACGGCAATATGTATACATATTATAATATATAGTATAATTGTTAAAAATAATTGGATAGTCAACTATTTAAAATTTATTAGACATTATTGAATACTTCTTTGTATACGACATTTGTAGTCGTATTTTTAGATTTTACATTTTCATCACAAATAAGAATTTTTAATCCCTTAGGATTACTAACTCTTGACACTGTTACATACATTTGACCATGATTAAAAACCGGCCTCTTCAAAAATAGACCCACGTTGGATAGTGTCTGCCCCTAGCTTTTATTTATTGTCATTGCATATGACAACATCAGTGGAAATTGCTTTCTTTGGAACTTAAAAGGCAATCTTGGATCAGAAAGTGTTAAGGACATCCTTGGAATTAAGACCTTTGTACCCGCACTTTCCCCGCATAGTATTTGAGCTTCTAAAACATGATCTGCCAACTTTGAAATGATCATTCTTGTACCATTGCACAACCCCAGTGAGTGATCAATATTCCTCAAAAGCATAACTGGTGAGCCAACTTTTAGAGTCAATGAGTGATTTGGAACACCTGAACACCGTAATCCATTTTAAAATTCCGGAGTGTGCAGATCAGCAAACATGTCAACATTTGAATCAGATTTACAAACCGAATCACAACTAAGATACGTCTTTCCTTCGGCATTATTATAGTCATTCATGTATTCATTTACTGCATCCACAATATCCAAAGTTGGTGCCAAAATAGCACGATATTTTAGATATTGAATATCACTGTGGCCACTGCGGAACATAGGGAATATGCAATCAACAATTGTAGAAATTGGATCCTCAATACACGGTAACACAAATTCTTCAGGAATATTTATCTCACATTCTCCATGCAAAGAATCACCAATTGTTCCATCACCTATATTAGCAATCCACTTTGCAAATTCTTCAATCTCTTGAACTTCAGTATCTGATTGCAATGACCTAAGCCTGAGATTCTTCGTTAGCCTAAATACTTTACAGCTTCTCCAAAGATATGATGCATTTATACTTGCTCCCACAATATCTTGCCTCGTGCCCTTTGGAATGACTGGTAGAATCTGTCTGAAATCTCCACCTAACACCACGGTTTTCCCACCAAAAGTCATATCCAAGCTTTTTGGATTTTTGGTATGCATGATATCTCTCATGGTACGGTCCAAAGCTTCAAAGAAAAATTTATGCATCATCAGTACCTCATCCCAAATGATCAACTTACTTTGCATGATCAACTGTGCCAAATGACTACTTTGGCTGATATTGCAAGTTGAATCTTCATTAACAGCTATTGGTATTGCAAATCTTGAATGTGCAGTTCTTCCTCCTGGTAGTAGAAGAGAAGCTATGCCACTTGATGCCACGTTTAAGACTATCTCACCCTTTGACCTTAAAGCATAAGACAATGCTCTCCATAAGAATGTTTTTCCCGTTCCACCGTATCCATAAACAAAAAATAGGCCTCCCAGATTATTCTCAGCATCTTGCAATACATTGTCATATATAGCCCTTTGCTCTTCGGTTAGTTGTTGCACCAAATTATCATTCTCTTCCCTCATGACATTAATATCATATGCTAATTCCTCTTGTATCAACCAATTGGTAGTTCTAGCATGATTCTCTAAATCCGGTACTAGCATCGACTGAAAGTCTTTCAAACTCTTTCCCATAGCAGAAAGCATTATTTCTATCTCCCTAAATGCGAAATTCTTTTTCTCATCTTCAGATAAAATCAAATCTGTGATAGTATTATTAATCGCATATTATAAATATGTGTATAAAAATAATTTGTACAACATGAAACTACAGAAACAAAATATTACCTGTAATTCCCAATTGTTCTCAAATCTTGAATTGTGCATCCTCAGACAAATAGTTCCACGCAGCTTCCCACACAACTTCTGGTTTTGCCATTGAGTTTGACATTAAGAGAGTGACAAAAAATCTTCTCAAATTTACACATGTCGCCCATTGACTTGCTTCTTCTATAGCATGAACATATTCGTTGTCGTCATTTACTAATCCTCTTGCAGAACAAGCGTCTCTAAAAGATTCGTATTGCACACCATATACTTTTTTGATATCCAAATAACTTGTTGGCCCTTTCACTTTATTCAAAAGACATCTCAAATAAAATATCTCCCCTGTACTAGGTGGCACATTGAAAACTCTACCTATTGCAAATCCTCTTTTCCTTGGCTGCCATTTCCTAACATTTTTCTTCCATACAAATTTAGTTGGCATTTCAGCATATGTTAGTTCTCTGGCAGCAGGGTAGGTTTTATTTGCCTCAAACCATTCTAAGAACATGCTTTGTAAGATTGTTGGATGGCTTATAATGTTATCAACTGGATCATCATCTGCGAATACAACACTTTGTTGATTTGGCAAGTGAAAGCTCAATCGTTCAACGGAAGGTGTCCTTAACTGTATATCAAATCCAAATAATCGCCAAGATGCTTCACACAGTGAAATGTACCGACAATCATAGAACATACTTATTTCATCAATAACTTTCGGACAATCTTCATTTATGTTGGTTTTGTAAAACTTTGATGTCTCCCTGTCGTACCCCTTGTTGACGTACTTGAACAAATACTTGATTGAACGGGATTGATTACACCATTCTACATTAATATGAGCCATATACTTCAACAACAAATGTCTATTGTGTGGTACTACGTATCTATTATCCAACTGAATACCATTGCGCATCACAAAACGACCATTGTCTCGTCTGCGATATATAGGATAACCATCTTCATCCACAGTTGAGCAATTAACAAACTTCTTGGGAAAGGTTTTAGTACATTTACCATTCGCCATACATGGAGAAGTCAACCGTGCTCTCCCGCAAGGACCATGCATCATAAACTCCTCAACTACTTTGAAGTATTCTGGATCAGTTTCTTGATCAGGTAACTCAGCTGAAATAATGTTGTCCAGATTTACCCCACTTTGTGCTCGATTGTTTTTATCCAGAAACAAAAGTATATGAGCATGCGGTAGGCCTCTTTTTTGAAACTCTATGGTATAGATCACTGTTAACATTGAAAAAGATAACACATTTTAGAATAGAGCAAATTATGTTAACCTTTTTAGGGTGTAAAAATGCATCATTAAAATAGTGGCTTTTTATTTACGTACCTCCAATGACTGGCCCAAATAACTTGTTCTTCTGGCATTCTGATAGTAGGGTGTCCAACTTCAGTTTGAATATTCTACATATTATGTCAGGACGATCTTCTGGTTTTAATTTTCTGTCATTCAAGAAGTGTTGTACCTCAGGCCACTTGGGGTTGCAGGTGAATGTGATGAACAAATCTAGATATCCAACCCATCGACAGATCGCCATGGCATCCTGGTAATTTTGTATCATGTATCTAGCACCACCCGTAAAACTCGAAGGAAATATTATTCATTTTCCTTGAGTAGTGGGGTCAAGTTCACCACACGTTAATGCATCATTCAAGCAATTATATGATTCACACCTCAAACTTTTCTGATGTGTCCTTATATATATCAACCTTCCGGACTCAACCATTATATACGCATCAACCAGAAATTGTTGGAACAACCTTTTTGCATGCAATAAAGTTGATACCTCTGAGATTCTAAACTGGATACGGTATGAAAAATATTCTCTAGGGCTTATCCTTTGACGTCCACCAGTTGTGTTGCATTTTAATGTTGAGAATTGAATGTCCTCCCTATAACTGTCCTCACATAAGGAAACAACAAAGGGTATTGCATTGGCAAGTAAGATGGATTTAATTCACTAATTCTTTGCAATAGGCCGCTCTTTGTTTCCAACAAAATGTCGCGTTCTCCAATATTGGTATCAATATCACCAACAATCAACGCAGCTACTTCTGAAACCTGTGGCAAATTGTATGTTCTTGCATCCTTTGATCTCTTTCCCAGCAATTTTATTTTAACCTCGGCCAGGGGATTCTTTTCCAGTTCATCTCTTGCCATACGAAAAGTTTTGACCAACACATTCTTGTCATCCAAAACTTCTTGAATAGCATTAACAATTTCCACATGAATGTCATTTTGCTTACCATCTTGCCTAAAAAGCGAATAGGTACATAATCAGAACATGCTCTCAAATTAATAAAAATTTTAATTTTTCATAAAAGATCGTAATAAAATTATAAACAATTACCTTACAGAATTGACACGGTTGCCCAGTTCGTTATTGGTATCATAGATATACAACTGTGCGAAATGCGGTTTATTTCTGTCTACCGGCAAGAGACTATCAATGTAGTGGAAGTTTTATCCATTGATACGAAATATTGGTGGACCACCGGTTATGTTCACGGATCGATCTATTTTACCACCCATCGACGTGAAGCAGAACATACTATTGTAGGTTCTAATGTTGTGCAGAAAGTGTTTTGTTTTTTCTCCTTCTCCAAAAAAAGATCATATATCACTGGTGGTGGAATCATCATTTGTGGCAGTTGAATCTTACCATTGTTGCAACACAAGTTATATTTTGGTTGGCCGTGGTTATCTGTTTTGTGTGTCCTTTCTTCGTACCAAAAAAGCGCCCCACAATGTTGACATGTGACAGTTGCATCACCAAGATCTTTGCATTCAACTAAATTGAAAATTTCAAACAAATTATTTTCATTACAAAAATTGAAGTAGAAGAACTATTAATATTATACATGCTAGTGTTGTAAGCAATCGTCTCTGCAACTTTAGACGTATCTGGTTCTTCAGCAATTGATTGGTTCAAATTTGAGATTCCCGCTGTTGCCTGACTTACTAATGTAGCCTGGTTGTTGCTAGATGACTGACCATTTGCATTGACCCTCATATATTTTTGTGTAAGCAGTGAGAATCCTACGTATTATATAGCATATTAGTTCCAACAAATAAGAAGCCGTTTGTACTTAAGAAGTCAATATGACTCAAAATCTATCGTTACACGAATAAAAATTTGGACAATACGTTAGTTAAATACGAAATGTACCCGCATCCTCTTCAACGGTTTTTGAAATTAGCTTAGTATTGGAAACTTCTTCAAAATCTTTAAACAAATCGCGATTGATCACATTATGATCGACAACAGATTTACCCTTATCAATGCATGTCCTTTTGTTCCACTGTGTGGTACCTAATAAATTTTTACTTTAGAACATAGTTTGCATAAAAGTAAAGTTTTTTTTATTCCAATTAAATCATATAAATAATACTTACCATTTGAAATATCCTGTAGCTGTGGTCTTGGCTTCTCAGACAGTTTGTGTGTACCTTTTTATATGACATATGTAACAATTATAATGACTACTGTTTGAAATTTGTAACTTGAATAATAACAATTAATGCACTGTGTGCTACCTAAATTAAAAGTAGTTAATAATTGGCATTAAATAGAAAAATGTCAAATGACTTATTTAGCTCAATTTAAAATATCTTACTATTGGATATATCGTGTAGAGGTTCTCTTGTAATTTTTGACAGACCTAAGTTACCTTTTACATTATATTTACAAAATTTCAATAATGTTATTTGAATAGGTTATTATATATGCAAAAATCATACAGTTAAATAAGGATTAATATGTAAACTAAATAATAGAACTAACCAGAAGATATTTGCGCTTGTTCCAGTAGCTAAAAAGGGGATTCTTCCTCCTAATAAAAACTTTCTACATTTATTTTGGCTTGTCGTATATTCCATGTTACGGCTACTTATATGTATACTCAAAGAGTCGTGTTTAACTGCAAATAACATACAATGTTACAAAAAGGTTGTAAATAGTGAATTGTACATAACGAAATGCGCGCACACACACACACACACACACACACACACACACATATATATATATATATATATATATATATATATATATATATATATATATATATATATATATATATATATATATATATATATATATATATATAAGACTGTAGCCATTTACCGGTCGTAACAACACTTTTTGGTGTATCATTTGAATTAGAAGACCATAGTGGTGTGCATCTCGTGGATGAATTAGTTTAATTTTCTTTCCCAATAGCATCGTTATTGTTTGCAAAGGTTGAATTTTCAACATTTTCTGCAAACAAAAGAATAAATAATTATAAAAACCAAAAATGTAATTTCTTAGGTAATTACATAATTATATATATATTTTTCCTAAAAAAGGGAACACAAAAACTCAAAGCAATCGATTATTATGATAGATATGTTCATACAATAATAATGTTTTACAGTATGTTTTGAAAATATTTCTTCACATAATTATAACAAATTATAATTTGATATGAGATTTAAACATAATTAGCCCAACAATAGTAATATATTATTGTTTATTAGGAAGGCCCAAATAACCAATGCCATTTTATAAGCCAAACCCGGCCCATGATCCAGAAGGAGCGGATAGAAGTGATTAGGGTATGTGCCTGTGTATATCCGTCACGGTCCCTCTCGAACATTGTAGATAGAACGTTGTTCTCTCACTCTCTTTCTCTCGAGCATTCTTCTATCTCATCTTCTTACCTCCTCTCATACTCTCTACTACTCTGTGCTTTCCATAACGATTTTAGTCTCTTCATGTCTAGGGTTGGTGATAACTACTGATTGCCTCCGATCATGGTTGTGTACTGAAACCCTAGTTGAGGTCTGCAGATCGGTGGAATTACAGTTATTGGGTCTAGGGTTTTCCGTCTCCGATCTTTATTTTTACTTAAAATTTCCAGCGCCTAACGTTTACTGAAGATGTAGATGGAGATTCTAGCCCTGATCCACGAAATCGTCTCTAAGATAAATCCAGTAACAATTTTTTTTTTTTATTTTTTGTTTATAAATTCGTATGTTATTCTATGCGAAACTTGAAAAAGCTGCTATTTATTCATATATTCGAAGTTTGAATTTAGGTTTTATCTGATTCCTTACGGCTTGCATTTCAGGTAGGGTTTTCATATCTACTGGAGGTGTTCATCACATTAGTTAGACATTGAATGACGGATTGACGGCCTGCTTCATTTTTCAGATAAGTACAATTCTTTAATATATGTTATCTAAATTCGTATGTTAGCATAGTATAAAAATTGTAACTGTTTTTGTGTATAAAAACCAAAATTTTCATTGGTGCAATTTTGATATCCATATCTCTAGTATACAGATGATTAGCCCAGCATGACACAATAGAGGTAAATATCATAAGATAATGTGTGCACTTAAGTCAAAGCATTTAGGTAAGCTTTAAATCAAAGTTTTTATATTGTAAACCATACCTTTGTTGTCGATTTTGTGCTTCCTTTTGCTGCCTATTATTGTAGAAGAAAGTATTTTCCTCATTGAAATGTTTTTTTTTTTGTATGTTCCAATTTTGATTTGTGATTGTAGTTGTAGTATGATAGATTTTCTGCCCTTATTGAAAGCTTTATTGTGTATTTAGCATTAATTTTTGGACATGCACCACAATGATTATGACTCTTCAGTTTTTTGTTGGGAAAACTACAATGCCATTTACTTTTCCTGTAATTGAATAGACATGTTCCCCCTTTTATTTTGTATATACTTTTTTCATTGGTTACTAATAGTGTTTGTTAGGCTTTGGCAAATGATGAATCTGTATTTCTGATGCCCATAGTTAATAACTACAATAGGTTGTTTTGTAGGTAGATTTGTGTGAAAAATCAGAATGGCATATACTTTATCTTTATACATTTGTTAGAAATGCTTATTTACCACTTTCCTAGTAATCAGGAATCTTAAATTTTTTTGACCTTTATTTGTTTCCACAACAGTTGAATACATCTTACGTGATGATCTGTGGCAGTCTGGGACGATTCTTAGCTTTCTAAGTTTAATTTTAGATTAGATTATATATTATGTAATGCAGGTGATGAAATGATGTTTCTGATCCCAAAAAAACAATGATATTATTCAAGTGTTTATTTTTTCGTTTTGTAATGTCATCAACAATAAGTCGCAAAAATTTCAATTACATTTACCAAGTCAATTTGTTTTGACTTTCAATTTTTGACTCTGTAATTAATGTTTATTTAAAGGTCTATAATCTATCAGTATATACTTATGTAAAATAATTTTACTTCTATTTGTCGTGATTTCTATGTTTATGGTTTATTAGAGTTAGGTCTGAATTTGACTTTAGAAATTGTAATTACATTCTAAATTTACCAAGTCAATTTACTTTTTTTTTTCTTGGACCGTGTAAGTAATGTTTTTTTAAAGGTCTAGAATCTATCACTATATACACATTGTTAAGAATCTGTACAATCTGTAAGAATGTTTATAGTTTTTATTTGTTTTTGTGGCAAATTATGGTTTAATTTAGTTAGGTATCAAATTCAACACAGAAATTGTAAATACATTTTCAATTGACCAAGTCAATTTTAATTTTTAAGTAATGTTCATTTAAAGGTGTAGAATATAGGACTATCTACTTATACTCTGATCAATCTATTATTTTGGTTAGAATTTTGTCCTTAAAACACATCACTTAAACACAGAAATTGAATGTTCAATTTATTTTATATGTTACTTTTTTTTAATTAAATCATTGCTGTGTTTGCTTGATTAAATGTTATCTGTGCAGTATTAATTGTTGGTCCTAAAAGAGATAAGGTAAAAGTCTAGAGGGGGGAGGGGGGAGGGGGGAGGAGGGGGGGGGGGGTGAATAGACTTTTAAACTTTTTAGCACAGTACAACAATTGCTAAGGCAACAGAGAAACCAAGACTCTTAACTAAATTGTTAAAGTTCGGTGCACATCGGAAATAATAAACGGTACGGTGTGTGTGTATTTGTGTCAAGATTATTCTCGTGAGAAGCAAGCAAGAGCAGTAAGTAAAGAAAGCGGTAAAGAACACGAGGCAATTTATAGTGGTTCGGAGGTGGTGTAATCCTCCTACTCCACTTGCTCTTATCTCTAAGAGCAATTCACTATATCCACCACTTCTTGGTTCCAAGATACAATGAATTCTGTGATCTAGTGTTTTGATCACCAAACCCACACTAATCACGCCCAGTGCCACCAACACTGCTGCTTCGGGTTTCACGTCGTCGCGCGCTACTTTCCCAGGATTTCACGACTCCGCGTTACTTTCCCCCCGTCTTCTACGCTCCGGTAGAAACACTCCTTCCGTGATCTAGTGCTTTGATCACAAAGCCCGCACTAATCACGCCCAATGTCTCCGACACTGCTGCTTCGGATCTCACAACTCCGTGTGACAATCCAGGATTTCACAACTCCGTGTTACTTTCCTCCTTTCTCTTGTTTTGCTCCAAAACAAATTTGCCTTGCTTCCAACTTTGAGACTCTGTAGTTGATCTTCAATGGTGCGCTGAGTCTCTTCGTAGTTGATGAAGATTCTAACACTCTTGGATATTTCTTTTGTAAGCTCTGTATCACTCTGAGTGTTTATCTCACTAAGAATATATCAATTTAAGCTCTTGAGATGGAAAGCTCTTTTGAATTTCATATGCTCTGTTTAGCTCTGTTCTTTGCTCTTTGTATTCTTGCTTCTGCTTTCCACTGCTTCAATCTTCATCCTTTTATAGCTGGTGATGAGAATCTGTCCGTTGGAAATAAACGTTCTCATTTTTGAATTTCTTGTAGCTGTATAGCCTTTTCAAAAGATAAGATAACGTTGCAGATACGTCAGAGATTCTCTGCAAGTTGAGCTTCAAGTTTTCGCAAAAATGACATCCCAAAAACTTCATCTGGTGTAGATCACGCCTCTTGGGATTTCTATCTTCAAAAATATAATCTCCAATTTAATCCCTTGCCTCTTGGGATTTCTATCTTCAAAAATATAATCTCCAATTTAATCCCATCCCAAAAACTTCATCTGGTGTAGATCACGCCTCTTGGGATTTCTATCTTCAAAAATATAATCTCCAATTTAATCCCTTGCCTCTTGGGATTTCTATCTTCAAAAATATAATCTCCAATTTAATCCCTTACTAGTTGGGTTTGTTTACTGCTTCCAGACTTCATCTTCTTAATTGACTTCGGAAATCTCTTCCCATGTAAACTTCATCCCTTACTGTATTTGGAAGTGAAATCTCTTCCCTTCTTGATCCCTTGCATCCCAATTTCATTTTTTAGATTCTCTTCAATTTGAAAATCTCATCCTATAGTCAACTTGATGGATTCAAACCTGTGACCTTGTGTATAATATTTCAAGCTTCTACCAACTCGTCCGTACAACCTTTTAGTCATTATCTTGTTTCACTTGGTGTACTCCTTTCTTTCTTCAAGATAGCTTCATGCAAACTTCAAGTCACGTTCTTTCTTCTTCGGGATTTGTTGAGGGATTTCTTCTTGAATTTCTTTGAGAGATTTATTCTTAGGATGAAAGTCTTCATAACTTGTGTACACATCTTCATACGCATACATCTTCATCTTCTGTTTGCCATTTTCACTAGGCAAATTCTTGATTTTAGGCTTCATATCTTCTTCATCCATTTTCCTCAACTAATGAATTTATTTTTCCCTTTCTTGGTCTATGACTCGACTAGTCTAACCAAAATAAAATTGGGGTTCTACGATTTACAATTTGGCATATCAAAATCTATTACAATTTAATCCTAACAATGTTTCACTATTGTCATAAAGTTTAATTACATTTTAACTTGACCAAGTCAATTTTTAAATTTAAGTAATGTTGATTTAAAGGTCTAGAATGTAGGACTATCTATAAAGTGAATGTATATTTGATTACTTTAAATTTTAGTTTTTTTTTTAATTACATCATTGGTGTGTTTGATTGATTAAATATTATATGTGAAGTGTTACTGTTTTACTATTGTCAGAGGTTACTCTTTTTTGTTAGTTTGCTAATGATGATATTTAAACTGTGTGAGTTTTAAATTAAAATAGCAGTCTGTATACAGTGTAAATAATGAGTTTTATTACATTAGATAGAGTCTAATTTAAGTTACAAACTTAGTACTTGGATACACATTTAGCAGATGGCTATAATTTAAGAATTGAAAACCATTGTGTGGTACACTGCTTGACCGTGTTTGCTTTCTTAATTGATTGTGATTGTGTTTGTTTCCTTCTTGTCCTGCATACATTTTCATATATCTAACAATATAAACTAATAAATAGATATTTATGAATGTTTATAAAAAGAAATCATAGGTAAATAACAAAGGCAAAGTGTCTAATCATAGATTTAAACAAAATGAAACTGTTCAGCACAAACACAGTGAAATTGAGCAGGGCAAGTGATCAGTTTAAAAAGATAAAAAACCACACTAATGTGGTAATAGTCTGTAGTCTCCCCGATCTTAAAGTTTTTCCTGTTTAACCGCCACAGTTTTTCCCATCTTGCTAGAGGAGGAAAATTGGTCCAAAAGCGATCTCTTCACACCATTAGAATCTTCTGGTTCATTGTCTAGCCTTTGAGACTGTTGTATACTTAATGGACTGTTGACCTCATTGTCTCCATTAGAAGCTTCCTATATACTAAAATAAAGTTTAGTCTAAAACATGTCAAACATAGGATTAAAAATGTAAAAATTAATTTTACTTTAGTAACAATAACAACCTGATCTGATTCCTCCTCTTCTTCCTCGTCCTCATCTATTATTTTTGATATCAAATCTTTGTCTTGGTCTTCAATCAGTTTAGAACAGTATGCTGAGACTAAGGCTTAATCCCTTAGAACTCTCATAACAGTGTAGGCTGAATTAGCTCCCTTCATGAACTCCATTTTTAATGATATCTTAAATACCATTCTCATACCAACTAATGATTCCAATTCTTTTGGAATGTCAGAAACCTAAAATACACAAAATATCATACTTTTAAAAAAGACAAATACAAAAAGACTTTATATGTATGTGTTAAATTTAATAGTAATATAACTTTACCTTATTATACTTTGTGTACAAACTGTGTGCTGGGATACCAACTAATTCAGAACACTCCCTATCCCATAAAAGGAAGGGAGCATCTCCTAGACCTTTATCTAGAACAATAACTTTGACTCGATACCTGATCATGCCTTCTTTATATTTCTTATCACAAGTTGTACAAATCAGATCACCTGCTTGTTCATAAAGCTTTCTGTTACATCCTGGTGACATGCAAGAGATGTACATCCATCCAAAAGAACCTTCAATGGCCACAATTTCAGCAGGTACATATAATTCCCCATTTTACAATTTTTTTGAAATCACTTGGTTACTCTGTCTTATGTAATCTATCTTATTAAATCTATAATCAGTTTTGTGGACTGTATTCATGGTTTTTAGAACTATAGAGTCTAACCTGCTTCTTTTTCAACAGATCCGCTACTGTAGTTATAGTCAAAGCATTACTCGTAAAGTCATCAATTCCTGTTGATTGAGACAGCATTGTTGCAGTACTGATACTGCGTAAAGGACTGTTTGAAGCAGTTAACCTACAGGTAAAATTAATACACAGTTGTATAAATGTCTGATACAATAGTTTAGAAAATGTAGAGCGTAGATAAAACATAAAATTCAGGCACTTACTGAGACCTAAAATCAGCAAATTCCTGGTAAGATGCATTGAAATGAAGTTGGGTAGCATCATAGCAGCTAGTGATTCTGATTTCACCAATTAGCATGATAGATGTTAATGAACAATGAAAAACCTAGAAATACTGTAAAAGAATAATCTATCGTTATAACTTACCATTGACCACCTTTGCCCGACAAAGCTGAAGAACCAAAATTAGTAGTTCTTTAAGACCTGCATCATAGTATTGTAGCATGGTACCAACATGACTGTCCCACACAGTGCACTGTAAGGTATTTTCCCTATAGGCAAGTGTGTTAGAAAAAAATATAATCATTGGAAATATAGGAACAGATTTGTTTGTATGAAACTTACTCATTATCAGCCATTTTAAAGTCTAGTAGTTTGGCTGGTCTACCTCCTATGATTTTGTCAACAGGAGCATAGATCTCGACAACTCTGCCTATTAAATCTGTATAACTCGTGCCAAGGAGTATCATTTAGCTTCTTCCGTTTCAAATTTCATACAGGGTTTGCCCCCATATCGGTTGAAAGTGCCTACGAAGAGATGAGAGGCAGAGTTGTCCCACTGGGCGTGCCAATTTGTGAACAAAGAAAATTGAATATATATAATAATAATACTCAAAATTCTGGGTTACATGTCAAGTATCAATGTGGTGTGGGTACTGTAGACACTTAAATTTTGATAAATATTGATTATTTATCAATATTAGTATATTTGAATTTATGTATGGATAATATTGATATTATCTAATTTGTTAATTAGAAAATATCAAAAGAGTTTGAGTTTATCAAAACTCTTCTATCTTACAGCTATAAATAGGACATCTTATTTCTATGTAATCAGACATCCTAGGAAAAATCATGTAAACATTTAGAAATATATATTATTCAGAGATCACAATGAAAATGTGATCCTGAAAGTAAAAACCCCTCCTCCAATCCAATCATGCCTGTTGATCCAAATCTCCATTGAAGATCAAACAATTTGAACCCGGAGGCCCTTCAAGAAGAACAAGCTATATATACAAGCCCTTCTTTGAAGATCAAGCCACTTGAAACCCGGAGGCCCTTCAATGGTGGTGTGTTCAAGACATTAATTGAAGAATCAGAGGATCATCCAGAGACTTGTACCTGTAAACACAAAAAAGTAAACGTTGTATATATTCACAAAATTCTTGTGTACAGCGTGTGTATAATTCAATGCAGGTACAAAATCTCTATCTAGTCCTCTCATTCTTCACTGACGTTATCTATGGAAGTGCCTCCGGGATTCAAATAGCGTAGCCTTCGGTATTTAAGTGGCGCGTGCCTCCGGGATTTAAGTGGCGTAGCTTCCGGGATTCAATCGGCGTGCCTCCGGGATTCAAGTGGCGTAGCTTCCGGGATTCAATCGGCGTGACTTCCAACAACGAGCGTCAATAATTTAGAAGTAATCAACCCTGCAAAGTTTCAAAACACATGCAACGGATTCAAGCTGCCTTAAGGTCCTCAAATGCCTTCAAAAGACTTCAAGATCTTCGAGACAATCAATTCTACAAAGCTCCAAAGTACATGCAATGGATTCAAATTTCCTGCAAAATCAACAAAAATGTCTTCAAATCTTCAAGCGTTCTTCAATGCCTTCAAGCTCTTCAAATGCTCTCAATTCCTCAAGCCTTCAAGTTGTTCAATTCCTTCAAGCTCTAAGCTTTCAAGTTCTTCAAGCTTTCAAGTGTGTTTTGGAATGAAAACGAAGGCCCTATTTATACTAAAAGCTTAACCAAAATTCCTCAACCAACCCCCCTTTTTAGTTAACTAATTAATTAATTAATTAATTAGGAAAATGAACCTTGTCCAAGATTAAGTCCAGGTTCATTATTGTATAATCTAATTCAAATTCAAATTAAATTATAATTATCTAATTCAAATATAATAAAATTAATATTATATTTAAGTTATAATTATAATTTAAATTCAAATATGAAGTGGGTTTGGGCCAACTAATCTCTTAATTCAATAGCCCAAAATCAAATTTAATTGGACTCACTAAATTAATTTAATTATTATGACCTAATCAAATTGATCCAATAATCAATCTCAACACCGGCCCAATAATTATTTTGTCTGTCCATTTATCGAGTTCAAATTTTCGGTGTCTACAAATTGCCCCCTCGAGAACTGCCGGGACATGCCGCTTAATGTGGTTGGAGCGAGGAGGTCTTGAAACTTAACAAACGGTTCTTTGAATTCATCATGGGTGCATCTAAACTCCATGAACCCAAATGTTTAAAGCATTGTGCAATAGAATGCAATGCAACAAACATTGGTGAAAGTGATGGAACTCCTAATGGTGATTTTGAAGGGGAAAATTTAATTGTCTATAGAGATGGTGCTCCACAAGAGAAGTCAGCCATTATGCATCCAGAAATTAGACCACATGGTACCAGGCCAGTAGCTATTTATTTATCCTTCCCAAAAAAACCCAACAGCTACTGCACTGCAACACTCTCAGCTTTCTCCCATGAGTAGTATATCATCATTATACTAGCAGCTCCAATGAATAGCTCTTTATTTATCCTTCCCAAAAAAACCAACAGCTACTGCACTGCAACACTCTCAGCTTTCTCCCATTGAAACTTTTCAATGAATCAGGAAACCCCACAATTTCTGCTTAACATAACATAACTGCATTACCAAGCCATTTTAATAACATATGCCTAGATTTTAAATGAGCCCAAAACTTATTAACATAAAGTTGGTGTAATGCGTCTTGACTTCAAGCCCAAAATCATGTTAATCCATTTAAAATTTTATGCCCATCAACAGTCAAACTTCTCTTCAACACTGAAATTTACCTCCTGCGGGACTTTAGCAACAAACGAATCCCCCACCGCACAAGCTTAATCATACTCTTATTCGGACTCTAGAGTTTCAATCTAATTCAACGTCTGATACCTTCTTATGATACACTATATAAATAGGACCAAATCCCTCAACTTCACATCCAACCAACGAGACTAACAAAAGGTTGAAGAAACGGAAGACACAGGACAACAATCCGGCCTTCCAAGGTAAATTATATCTCTTTTTTTTCCATGCGTTTTTGTTTACAGGGAAGAAGTAATACCCCTGCATCATCATATGAAATAAGAGGAACCTGGATTATTATTTTGGCCGGAGTTCATCGCAGAAACTGCTGAAATTTTTGCCGGAAGTTTCATTTTTTTTTTTTGTTGTCGTGCAACCACCAACACTGCCGGAATCCGGAGGTCGTCGGAACGCTGCCCGCCGGAGTCCAGAGGTCGCTGGAACGCTGCCCGCCAGAGTTCCTCGCTGGAAGATCACCGCTCCGGAGACCGTTCTTCGTTGAAGTCGTCGGAAGTTCGTCGCAAAAGTCGCCGGAGTTTCTTTTTGTTTTTTGTTTTTTGTTTTTTTTTGACAACTTGAAGGAACAACAAGCAACGTGAATGTTGCCAAGCTAATAGAACAACCACCGGAGCCAGAGCGTGGGTTTCTACTCGTAGTGCTCGAATCACATTGCTGACGGAGCTCTTCGTCGAAGGTCGCCGGAAATCGCCACTATTGGAGGGTTATCGCGGAGCTCTGTTTCCGTCTTTTGTTGGTCGCCGGAGATCGTGCTGCTGGAGGGTTGGGTTATCACGGAGCTCTGTTTCTGTCTTTTGCAGGTTCGTCGGAGATCGCCGCTGCTGGAGGGTGGCTGGAATTTCCCGCCGGAGATTTTTGTTTTTGCAGAAGTCGTCGCTCACCCACCAACGCTGCTGCCGGAGGCTCGCAAAAGTCATCGGAGATCACCGGAGTTCTGTTGCTCAATCATGGACGCCGCTGAGCCGCTCCCTGGAAATTTTCCTTTGCAGGACTCGTTGGAGCCACTGAAATGTAGGACTCGCGTCGCTCATCTAGGAACCATGCTAACGGGAAGCCTCACGACGAACGTTTGATTGTCGTACCGCCGTGGTTGCCGCGTACATCGAGTGAAGAGATAGCGAAAGAAGAACTACTGAACGTGAAATATGGTGTAGACATGTCTTTGGGAGTTGGATTAATTCGATGGTGACAACACACCCCTGGCAGCCTGCAACACAGCCACCTACCCCTTCTTTTTTCTCCCTTTTCAATTTTTTTTAACTCTTTTTTTTTGCTTCGTTTTCCCCCTTTTCTCTTTTCCCCTTCTTTTCTTCTTTGTTTTCTGTTTTGCTTTTTCTTTGTGTTTCATTCGTTTCGTTTTTTTTTTTGGTTTCTTTTGTTCTCTGTTTTGTTTTCCATCCTCTTAGTTTTTTCATTTTTCTCTTTTCTTTTGTTTGTTTTTTTTTTTGTTTCGTTTTTCCAGTTTATACTTTTCACCTTTTTTTTTGTTTTTGTTTTTTTTTTCAATATTTTAATAGTAATAATATAATAATAATAATAATAATAATAATAATAATAATAATAATGTGTATATATGTACATAATATATGTAATCCACGCGTAGTGATGTGAACGTGTATATATGCCATATCTATATGTACGTATGTAGTATATCATAATTAGCATATATATTTTTTTGGTAGCGGCTTCTCAATTTTGACACGTTCAAAATGATGCACTCTCAAGGGCAGAAGACCATGGTGATATCCAGCAACAAGGACAATCATACCAATTAATTCGCCACCCCTAGTACAACATCCATTGCAGTGCTTGAAATCCATGACCACACCTGAAGCTGAACTATCAAAGTAACTTAGTCTTGTAATTTAATATAATAAAATCTCCTTTCATTACCACTGAACTTGAAAACAAACAATGCCAACTACAAATGAATAGTATCCTTGAAATATTCAAATAAAATTTGAACATGAGCAATTATGGACAGATTCGTGGCCTCACTTCGCTTCAATGTTTGACCCATTAAATCTCAAATTCAAACTTTGATGTCTTCAAGAGAGTTTTAACTTTGTAAATTATCTTTCCAAAGACACTTAAATCGCATTAATCGGACCACTGTAGACCAAGATAGAATCAGAATGCTAAGCAAAACTGCTACGAAAGTGCATGCCTTGATAGTTGTCTTGTAATAATTTCTACACTTTTTCCCCCTCTTTTCCATGCCAATAATTGACGTGACCTTGACTTAATCACAACATCACCATTATACGCAACGTGAAAGAAACTTTTTTTTATTATGACTGAACTTAGAAAAAGAAGGTGTTTCTAAGTTGCCTACGTACTCCTACAAAGGAGATTAAGTCAAACGTAGTTCCATTTTTTTTTTAAAAAAGTAAAGCCGTTCACAATTTAAGCTCATGCGGGCCAGGAGCGTCTATGACTTGGGCCCACCCATAGACAAGCGAGATGCATTAGCAGTTTAACCACATGCTGCATTTTTGGTGGATATCACTCATCAAGTAGTATCTTTTACTTAATAGGGCCAACTTGCGTATCATTTTCATCAACCAAGTTGTACATGCCCCCCTGCAACCGGGATCTTATCAATTGATGTGGAATGAAGACGCCACCTCATCTTGGGTTGGTGTCGCTCCATAATCTGGATCAAGGTCTTCTTCTTTTCCTTCTTGCACACGGGTGTATATAATGGTTTTTGGTTGGACCTTCAAGACTTTGTTGTATGAAACATCGACATCAACTTCTCGTCTCATACGAGAGGGAACTATACTTCTAAGCCTTTTTGAAGACTCTATTTCAATAGAAGTGTCGGTGTGTTCTTTTAAAACTCGAGCAACTCCGAGTCTGTCATGTACGGACTTCCTCTTAGCAGGTTTGGGATTTGACCCAAGCCTATGAAAGGCTGACCGTCGTGGTTCTACCCCGCCAATCCTATCAAAGACTGATTGCCTCTTATGGTACTTCTCCTCATCGGTAGAAGTGATGCAGTTACTTGTGGCTCTATTTATGAATATTCGCACTGGCTTAGGGGGAACATAGCCCAATCCTTTGCGTGCATGCGGTTCCTGCTGGTTTGACTTGCCTTTACCACCAGCTCATAGGATAAGCTTCCCCAACTTCTGCGGCTCCTTGGGATTGTAGCCAGCTTTAGCTAGAAGTTTATAAGCATTGGGGTCGAAGCCATTAGTGCGCTTAACAGGCAACATTTCATCTATTTCATCCCGAGCATCGTTATCTTTGGTTTCTTCTCCAAGAGGTTTGGCTGCGGGAGCTTTCAATGGTTCAATTCTTGTAAGCGGGAAAACAAGTTCCTTATTGCAACGAGCTTGGTCTACGACCTGTTTGCCTTTCCATTTTGGATCAGGAGGTGCGTCAACATTGATTTTGTCAATCTCTTCAGCAATAACTTGTTTCTTCAAGTAAAATTTTGCGTCTGCAAAGTAGGACTCTGCTTCGGTGAATGGACTTTCATCAGCGACCACCTTTTCCATCACGCCGCCTTTTTCAAACATTAGGCACTGGTGCCATGATGAGGGGACTACTCCATTCTCATGTATCCAAGGTCGGCCTAGCAACAAATTGTAAGACGTCCTTGCATCTATCACATAACATAGTGTATTTGAGTTCAACGTTCCGACCCTGAGATCGAGTCTGATGGTACCTAGTGCCCTTTGCCCACCTTGATTAAAACCTTGAATCATTAGGCGGCTTTGAGAGAGCTCGTCGGTAGAGATGCCAAGTTCTTTCATAGCTCGGAGTGACAGAATGTTCACAACCGATCCTTGATCAATCAAAATCCTTTTGATTCCTTGCTCGCGTGCATAACCGTCTACGAACAGCGGACGATTGTGTGGTGCACCACCAAGCAATAGATCTTCATCTTTGAAAATTATCTCCGCAGTGTAAGACGCGGCTTTGCGAGTTTGGACCTCGTTGCTTCCTTCAATCAAGGGGAATGAAGATTCTCCCACTTCAACATGTTCTTCATTGGTATTCAAGCAAGTTCCAAGAATGTCTCTTCTACTCAGGCGAAACCCCTTTGGCATGTATTGAGCTAGGGTAACTGGTGCCCGTGGCTTGCTGGGACGTCCTTTCTTCAAGTCATGGACGG